GGTGAAATTGATAAATATTCACACAGATCAGCACAGTCTCCTATAAATGAGCTTAGGAGATTTTGCTGGCTCTAGGGTGGCACATTGGTTCAAAAAGACTCATTTATGAGATCTCATAGTACAGCTTTAATAAAATTAAACTTAAATACCATATGCCTTATTCATTGCAAAACAAGGAATATTTTATTTCATTAGGTGTGTGCAGATAGGTGCAATGTTGTCTAGTGGACAAAACAGTACAAAGTCGTGACTCCTGGAAATCTGTTGTATCTCTGTGAACTTGAGCAAGTCACTTAATCTTTTTGTACCTCAGTTTTCCCCATTTGAACAACAGGATAATATATACCCATTTCATAGGAGAATTCTAGAAAATAATACATTTTTGTTTAAGGCTGGAAGGGGCCATTATAATTCTTATTTCAAGGATGATGCAGACCATAGACAGTCACTTATTAATTCCCACATCAAATTTTTCTTTGAGCTTTAGCATAACTTGTAAGGCCCTGCTTGCATGAGTAGTCTTTAAATACATGATCAGCTATATTAAAGACATGGAGTCACTCAAGGCACGTCTACACAGCAGGGCTAAAGCTGAAATAAGCTATGCAACTTGAGCTATGTCCATATCGCTTATTTAAGCTTTTGGCAAGAAGTCTTTGAAAGAGCATTCTTTCTCCAACTTCCCTTACTCCTCGTACAATGAGGGTTACAGGAGTCTGAGTAAGAAGTCCTCCAGCTGGACATTGTTAGCATTATGTCAAAATAACTGCTTGCTGTGTATACGCAGACTGAAGTTATTCTGAAATACCGCTGCTGTGGAGGCATAGCCCCAGATATGTTTCTTCTTTGAAATGGGTCTCCCTGGGGCTGCTTAGCTGTAGGTGTCTTGGCACTCCTGTATTTATAATCTGAACTTTTTAGCTACAGTATCTCTGCAAGGTACACAGACACACAGCACCGCTTGCACCGCAGCAAACATACCAATGCATGCACACTGACAACAGTCCCAATTCCTTCCTTACCACTCCCGGCTTGGTTGGAACCCAGCAGTGCTCCATGCTTACTACTTGGTATTATTGTTAGTTATTAGATAGGATTAGATCTTTCCCTTGTTTCATGGCTCCCTCCACCCTTTTAATTGTTAGTTTAAGAAAAAAAAGAAAAAAAAGGCATTTTCTCTTGTTAGTAGTTATTCGGATTAGAGTAGTCATGCCAGGCTCCCCTGAACTTAAACAGTACCTGACATGCAAAATGTCTATTACAATCTCTGATGGGCATGCCCAGTTGATGTGTGGGGCAAGATCATTCTCCGAAGAGCTGCCATCACTGTAAGAAACTCTCTTTGAGGTCTTTAAAAACGAGAGAGCTTCAGTTAAAATGCCTCACGATGGAGCAGGTAGAGAAGCCAGCCTCAGAAGCAGTTTCCCAGGCCTTACCAACCCATACCTCACCAACAGTGGCTTCTGACCAAGGGTCATCTGCATCTCAGGAGCCTCCGGCCAACGAAATGGCTAAGAGGAAGCACACTTCACTCTCAGCAGATAATCTCTTGTATGGTCTATCCTCTCAGCAGAAGCCTTTCTTGGCACCCAGAGTACAGGCTTCGGGGGATGCGCAAGCACCAGGGAAGTCCAATACAAATAAAGCCTGAAGGGCAGTGTCCTCAAAAGATACACACCCTGCAGTCTCAGTACTAAAATCTAAGAAGACAGTCCCTGCGCCATCAGTGCCAACAACGTCGATACTGACACAGTCGGTACCCGAACTGTCACATCAGACCGTGACTAAGGGCTGACAGGAACTGCTGGTACAGACACCGACAAAGTCAGTACCGACACCGCATACCGACGTTTCCCTGGTACCGATCACATTGAAGGCACGACATGCTATGGTCCCGCAACAAGTCCAGCCCTCCACATTGTCGGACGGGCATACTATCTCAGGACCAGAGTCGTGTTCTCCTTCCCAATGTCCACAAGCTCCATCTCAAGGCCTGGCTCCTCCAAGGCTGATCACACAGGACCTCACCTGTTCAGAAGAAGTTTGGAATCTAATCATGAGCTCTTGCAAAAAGAATACAAGACAGACCAATTTGCAGAAATGGCACTGGTTTCTCTAAGTGGGCCACTCACAGAGCACTTCAGCACAGCTGATGATAGTCTTTGAGTACTTCCTTTCATAGAAGACACAGAACCTTTCAAATTCATTGAGAAAGGTCCATTTAGCAGTTCTTTCTAGTGAGCATGACCGCATAGATAGCCACACTATTTTTTTACATCCGACTACCAAGAAATTTTTAAAGGGTCTCAATAATATTTTTCTCCCATAGTGCCTCTTGGGATCTCAACCTTGTCCTTAACACCTTGACCTGCTTTCCATTTGAACCGATGACAATATGCTCCTTTTCACACCTTTCTGTAAAGGTAGCTTTCTTACTCGCAATCACGACAGAAGAGTCAGTGAGTTGGCCATTTTCATAGTGAATCTGCCACTTAGAATCTTCTTCAAGGACAAGATTGTGCTAAGATAACACCCAAAACTTCTCCCAAAGATGATGTCTCAGTTCCACCTCAACGAACCTATACACTTACCCGTTTTTTTTACCAAAAGCCTCATCCTGATGCTAATGCAGCACAACTTCACTCTTTGGATGCTCGACAGGCGATTGCCTTTTACCTAGATAGAAAAAACAGTTCAGATGTTCTCCCAGGCAGTTCATTTTCATAGCAGATCATCCCAAAGGGCACATGCTCTTGAAACAGAGCCTTTCAAGACGTATAACAGATTGTATTAAAGCTTGCTATGACATCAATAAGGTGGCACTACCAACTCAATTGCGGCACACTCCACCAGGACATCAATAAGGTGGCACTACCAACTCAGTTGCGGCACACTCCACCAGGGCGGTAGCTGCCTCCACGGTCTTCCTCTATAATGGGCCCATCACAGACATTTATAGGGCAGCAACATGGGCCTCTGCACATATCTTAACAAAACACTATACAATAGATACTTACACTTCACAGTGTGTCAAGTTTGGGGTGGCAGTCCTCTCTGCCTCCCTCTAGTCAGGCCCGAAGCCCCTCCTTCCAGATGCTCATGGTACTGCTCCATAATCACCTACCAGTGGAGCACTCACAGGGACACCCCTTGAAGAAGAAAAGAGAGGTTACTCATCTTGTGCAATAACTGGTCTTCAAAATGTGTGTCCTGAGGGTGCTTCACAACCCTCCTTCCTCCCCTCTGCTTCAGAGCTGGGACACTGCTGCTAAAAAGTTCCAATTATAAATGCAGGAGCACCAAGATACCTACAGTGGAGCGCCCACAGAGACACCCATATCAAAGACCACCCGTTATTGCACAAGGTGAATAACCTCTCTTATTACACAAGCAATGTATCTTAGATATTCACATGTCTATTGCAAGTAAAGCACTATGAGTCATCCACTGATTTATGGTAACATAGAAGTGCAAAATAACCTTTATAGAACACACTTTTTTTAAAGTGTGGACCTTATTGTATATAATCCTTCTGATTCTCACATGGTATATTAGCTACCCTGAAAACCTCTAGGCATTTTCACATGTGTGAACAGACGTGTGCACGTGTGAACAGGGCTTTCTTGTGCTGAGAATGTACAATGGTCTGTTATAAGTATATATCAAATGTTCCTTATTTTATTCCTCTTATTGTAAAATTAGCCCAGAAATGCTCGGTCCTGAAACTCCGATAATAGAAAACATTGTTTATGTGGAAAATACCACTTTAAAAGTCCGGCACTGCTGTTTTTCTTGTTATATCCCACAGGACGCTGCAGCTCTTGTGTGTGTATATAACTCAAAAGCGACACAACTGTTATTGAAGTCAGTGGAAGTTAATATGGGCTGTAGAACAAGTGGAAAGGGTTAGGCAGTGTAATATTTCAAAGGAAACTGCTTTTAATATTTATTAGGTGGCCTAGCACCAAGGCACTCAAGGTTCCATACTACCATATTAAAACTACAATAAAAATACTATAACTCATTTCATTAGTTGTATTTGTATGTAAAGTGTCAGTAGTTGAATCCAAAAGTATAATAAAGGGTGTAGCCTTCACTGTAATTTCACAGATGACAAGTTTTCTTGTGTTAAATCCTCAGTGACAAGGATTCAAGGATATCTTCAGCATGAGATAAAAGAAGTCAAATTCTATGTATTTATATGAGCTGATTTCTTTTTCTCTTCAATTAATAGTGTTAAATGTGTAAATTTTGTGTCAGCCCATCTGCTTTTAGTTATGGGAAATCCTAACAACTGGCTTAAGATTGGACATCTTTTTAAATTTAAGGCTACAGTTTAGCTTTAATTCCATCCCTTTTGCATCACTCAAATGTAGGGGCATAACTGTAACTTGAATTGCTCTACTTCATTGGCACAAAAGGAACAGAATGCAAAGTAAAATTTGGCCTTGAGTCTAGACAAGTGGTCAGATTCTAAAACTGTTTTGGGGATTTCCCATTACAAAATATAGATGCTCCTGTCACTTTTTAAGTGTAAATAAGAGTTCTCTATAGAGAGATGCAAATAAATATTGGAAGTCTATTGGCCTTCCATGTAGCCATTATCAGTTGGCAGTTTCTTTTAGGTAATTTAGGTGGGTCTTGACAGATTCGAAAGATGAAGTAGAGTGACTTTATAGACTAGTATGTGGAGCAATTAACTCATTAGCATTAACTCAACTTAATCAAGTCTAGTGAATGAATGCAACAGAAAAGTCCCAAAACATTCTGTTGAGGTTGAGCAATACACAGTTCCAGCCTGCACACTGGAAACCCGGGTAAAGATTGGGTCTCTGCTAATGTTAAGAAACCAATATGCTGCTTTGTCTCTTTGTTTATATTGATTATTTCTAGTACTCAAGTATTTTATCTATTTTTCAAGACAAAAGTTAGTCTAATAAAATGTTCATATGAATCCATGTGTCGCAATACAGCATATAACTTTTTTTCTTACTTCATAGGTTGACATATGGTCCAAATCCAATTATCAGGTTTTTCAGAAGGTAAGTTCCACACCATTTATCTTCTACTCAATGCCTGTAAGAGAAGTGTGGGTTCTGTGTCTTGTAGAACTTCTTGTTTTTCAAGACCATCAATTTACAAAAGCAGTTAAATCTTGTGTTGTGTCAGTCATCATTAATGTGATTAAAAAACTTGCATCACGACATGCAAAGAACAAAATATAATCTCTAATGATTGAAGATAGTAACTAGGACAAAAATAGGATACGCTTTTTTGTTCATAGGTTACTTTACAATTCTATCCTAGAATATCTCTGACCTTACCTCAGGTAATCTGAGACCAAACTATGTGACTTTCTGCTCTTTAGCCTAAGAAATCATTTTCACTTACTTACTTTTCAGATTTCTTTCTAAGTAGTTTAAATCTAAAATTCCAAGCTTCTGCGTTCCTTAATTGAAAGGGGAAAGTATACCCTCTATAGAGGGGGAAGTCAGCAGTCATCTTATCCAAATTGCTTGAAAACAAATTCCTCTTCTTGTGGTTTAATTTTAATAAGTCAATGGGACTTTGTGATGGATAGGAGTATTGCTGGCCAGCACCTGGTGACTAAGGGGTTACACTCAGGTAGCTAACAAGGTTGTTGGCAGGGATCCAGAAGAACCAATGGGGATAGAGTGCTGAAATTTGAATTGTATAAGATACCGTGTCAGTTTTCTTTGTGAGGGAGAGTTAAACCAGGAGTTTGAGAGACACAGAATGATTTAAATCCAGGCATGATTACCATTCCTCCAAGGAATTTGGGGCATGGAAGTGGACTGAACCCAAAAGGGATCATGAGTAAATAAAGGGGAAAAGTGCTGAGGAGTCCTGTGGCACCTTATAGACTAACAGATTTATTGGAGCATAAGCTTTCTGACAAAGTGGGAATTGCCCACGAAAGCTTATGCTCTGATAAATCTGTGAGGGTATGTCTACACTACCACCCTAGTTCGAACTAGGGTGGTAACGTAGGCAACCGAAGTTGCAAATGAAGCCTGGGATTTGAATTTCCCGGGCTTCATTTGCATCTCGCCGGGCGACGCCATTTTTAAATGTCCGCTAGTGCGGATTCCGTGCCGCGCGGCTACACGCGGCACGGACTAGGTAGTTCGGACTAAGCTTCCTAGTGAAACGAGGAGTAACGGTAGTTCGGAATAGGAAGCCTAGTCCGAACTACTTAGTCCGTGCCGCGTGTAGCCGCGCGGCACGGAATCCGCACTAGCGGACATTTAAAAATGGTGGCGCCCGGCGAGATGCAAATGAAGCCCAGGAAATTCAAATCCCGGGCTTCATTTGCAACTCCGGTTGCCTACATTACCACCCTAGTTCGAACTAGGGTGGTAGTGTAGACATACCCTTAGTCTATAAGGTGCCACAGGACTCCTCGTCGCTTTTAAAGAAGAAAAGTGTATCTAGTCACGATGAGGGTATTTGTCTTTGTTTTTGTGATTTGGTTGGAATTGCTCTGTGTGAATCTATGCCTCCCCTCCCCTCCCCCATTCACCGTCTAAGAGTTGTTCCCAGAGATTTTCTCTCTGTTTTAATTTGTTTTACTTAGGTGCTCTGTAACACCTAGCAATCAAATATGCTTTATCAAGTATAGCTTTTGTTTTGTTGATAAAAATAACTTTTTAAAGGTGATGATTTGATTTTTATGTCTGGGAAAGTACAGTAGGTCTTCTTTCTGTATGTCTACAAGACTCAGACTACGAGGTCAGCTACCAGAGACTGCAGCTTGTTTTTCTCTTTGTTTTTTTCAAGCTCTCTTGTGGCAGAGGATCTTGGGTTACCCCTGGGGAAGGAAGTCCAAGTGCTTTCTTCCCAGGTTCAAGAAGAAAGGAGTTCGTTTTACTTGGTGGTAGCAATTGCTTTGTTTATTTCTCAGAGGCAATCTATCTGTGAGACTGGATTTTTTGTTTTGTTTTGTTTTGTTTTTTGTAAGCAGTACCTAGAGGCCAAGCTATTTAAAGTCTTTGTGAACTCCCACCTTCTGCACTTGTGGTGCCAGAGTGGAGATCAGCCCTGACAGACTTGAACATTTTATCTTAAAGCTAGCTATTGGGTCTTCCTGTCCTCTTATGCTCCTTTAAACTAAAGTAATTCCACTGAAATAGGGCGGATATTCTTCAAATGTGAGAATGGTATGAGATGAAAATAAGCCCACTAAGTATAAACCTGCCAATAGTTGAAAGACACTTTAGATAGTGTGCTTTTTTTCAAGGCAAGTGAAATAAAATTTCTCTGTAAAGTCCTCTGGTCAGAATGCTAGAAGTTCAATCTGAGCTGGGCTTTAAATTCCAATTTCATTGCATTCAAGCCACAGTTCAAGGAATATAAGGCTCAAGCTACTATATTCCTTTCATCTACTTCTGTAGTTTATGTAACAACTATGGGTCAGGGACTCTAAAGGGCATAAAAGCAGGGGTCAAAACTAAAGTTGTATCACCTGTATTTGTGCATAAATGTGTCCAAGTTTTAGAACTCCCTCCCAGGATTTCATGTGCAGTCAGAAGAAAAGCAGTTTTGACCTATGATATTAACCTGCTAAAGATCAAAGTGACAGCTTTTTGGGAGGTAGGTAGCAGTCCCTCCTTGACTAGCATTAAGGCAGAAAGAATACCACTGTAATTCTTTCTTTACTCAAAGACAGGTAAAGGAGTCTTTCATCAGTTAACTCTTCTCTCTCCACAAAAATATTTTCTTTTCTGTGTAAGATAGAGAAGAATGCAGTGTAAAATATTTTAGTGTAGAATTAATCTTAATAATCATTTATCAGTAATGTCTTGAAGTTATTATTGCAATGGAACAGGTTCAGGTTTATGTAATTAAGTGCATCCTGAAATTCTCCATATGTGGTTTACATTATGATCTCATGAGGGAGAAACAGAACCTTTTTATATGTTTGTGAAGTGTCTACAACATTTGAGAGATAAAGGTATTGTAATTCATCAAAATAGGCATTCCTTAGATGTTTTAACACGTTTTTAAAAAGGACCAATCAATTTGCTAAGTAATAGTTCTCACCTCAATACAATCAGTTTTAACACATGGGTAGAAGTAGCAGCTACATATTCTAAACTGTAAATATAATTGGTAAAAAGATGAGGAATTCTTTTATTTTCATGCCACTTGTTCAAAGCCAGCCCAATGACTGCATAATAGTTTGTGAAGCAAGCTGGAGGTCTCAATACAGTTCTTACTTGTCAATCCACATAATAGCCACCATCACACTGGGTGCTATTGGGCCCTATAATTTTACCTAGCATCTCACTCGGGCAATAATTAGAGTATTTTCTATAGATACAAAATGAACATAAAAATTAGTTTGGCAGAAGCTTAAGCATATACAGTGGACTTCCCCTCCCTGATGGTGGCCTATTAGGTCAGAAGTGAAGTAGTTTGAGGAAATATAGGAGAAGCCTGTAATCCCTTTGCCCACATACCCCTCTCCTGTGGATAATGGGAAGTTTTTTTTCACTAGTACTGTCACTTCAACACATTAAACTCATTAAATGTCCTTTTAAAATGTTAAGTTAATTAAATGCAGTGAAATATCTAGGATTCTGGCTTCAACACAGACCAGTAGTGAAAAGACTTTAACCATCTCATATCTGTCAAGGGGCTTTATAAGAAATAAGTTATTGGTCTCTCTGCCAAGCTCTCAGAGCACAAGTGCATATCATACATAAAAAACCCCACCAAAATTGACATATAAATCTACACCTTTAATACTCTGTGTAGTTGTGGTCTCTTCATCTAAAATATATATTAAAATTGGAAAGGGCACAGAGAAGGGCAACAAAATCTATTAAGCATATGGAACAATTTCCCTGTGAGCAGTGCACTGGCACCACGCACGCACGCGGGGCAGGACCGGCCCCGAGCACTCGACAGGTGCACGTTAATACCCCAGCGGGCGCCATAGCACCTGCAGGCAGCACATTGGGGACCACTGATCTACAATCTACAATTTCATTCATATTTGAAATAGAATTAAAGTATCTGAATAATAAATTAGATTCATTCCTGTCCAGGCAAACTAATCAGCTAATAAAAAACAGATTAATTTAAAATACAAAATATATGGCTGCTGGAGAGAGGAAGTATTATCTAATGGCTTGAGCAAAGGTCTATTATGCATGGTGTTTAAGTTATGTTCTCATTTTTACTACTAACTCATTGTGCTACGTTGAATAATCACTTACCTCATTGGGTGTGGCTAAAGTACACTCCTCTGTCCGCAGAGAGATGTAAATTAGACACATCGAAAGTGCAAATGAAATGGGGATTTAAATATCCCGTGCTTCATTTGCATAATGACAGCCGCCACTTTTTTTCAAAATGGGGCTTTTTGGAAAAAAAGGCGCAGTTTAGACATGGCATTTTCGACAGAAATGCCATGTTTCGAAAGATCCTGTACAAAAAATGTGAGTCTAAACTGTCGGGGGTGGGTTTCGAAAAGCTCCATTTTGAAAAAAAAAAAGCTGCGGCTGCCATTATGCTAATGAAGCACGGGATATTTAAATTCCCGTTTAATTTGACCCTTCGATGTGTCTAATTTACATCTCTGCTGACAAAGGGGTGTAGTTTAGACACACCCAATGAGGTAAGTGATTATTCAAGATAGCACAATGAGTTAGTGGCAACAATGAGAACATGTCTATTATGCATGGTGTTTTAAGTTCTTTGTTCAAGCCATTAGATAATACTTCCTCTCTCCAGCAGCCCTTTCGATATGTCTAATTTACATCTCTCTGCCGACACGGGTGTAGTTTAGACGTACCCTTAGTGTATTGGTTTCCCAGTGTTTAACATAGGGATTATACTTTCCTGCCTCAAAGGAGCACTGTATCTTCTTTGCATTGGTTTGAGTGCATTGGATGAAAAGCATTATAGAAATGCAAGATATTACTTCCTGAGTGTCACTAGCAGATTTTATAACTGTGCACTAATAGTGAAATAAATTAAAACTAGGATCGATGAAAAATATAGTCAATATTTC